TTTTCAGAATTTTGTGAGACAAACAGGGTAATGTTAATTATATTCAACATAGAGATTCCTAAGTAAATTAATTACATAGAAGAAGTGTACGTTACTTAATTTCGATAGATAGCTACTCTGGGGTCACAGCTAAAATCAAAAGTAACATGATCAAAGCAGTCTAATAGTTTGGGCGGTAAGGCTGCTGTCTAAATACACAGCATTCCGGTTATTTACAGTACAGAATTATAGGGCTCCCCAACTAAGACCTGGACTATAGAACCATAGTCTATTCAGCACAAACAGAAGCTTTTGCTGTATGTGCCATTTGCAGAGTTCACATTGCACCTGCTTATCAGTCATCCTTACAAATTCTGAAGTGTACTACAATGAAGAATTTTTATGACATTTCCATTTTATGTTGTATCCATGTCTCTCTTTAGAACCTAGTGCACAACAGATGCATGTGAATTTTGAACATGTTTTCTACTTGTAAGTAGGGCCTGACCAATTTATTGGTTGGCCGATAATATCAACAAATACTAGCGTCCTGTTTTGCTATCAGCATCAGGCAATAATATACCAGAAAACACCAGAGGTGGGAACAAGTTGCTAAGTTGCACCTAACAAGTCTCAAGTCTTAACACTCAAGTCCCGACTCAAGTCCCAAGTCAAGACAGTCGAGTCTCGATTGAAGTCCTGAGTTAGTGAAGGTGCATCTCGAGTCCCAAGTCAAACGTCCTAATCTTCAAATCCTAAACAAGTCAGTCAGCTTATTTAAGGCCATATCACTAAATAATGTAAATAAAAAAAGAAATATATAAACACCGACTCTAAATATATACACATATACACAATATACACTAATATTGCACTATTGTGTATATGTGTATATATTTAGAGTCGGTGTTTATATATTTCTTTTTTCAATGTCACTGCTGGACTGAGAATAGTCCACCAACCAAAACTATCCAGCCAACAGCGTCCTGTGACCACTGATGAAGGAGTAGAGGATTACCAACACAAACTGTGCAGCAGCAGATGAGCCATCGTCTCTGACCTTACATCTACAAGGTGGACTGACAAGGTAGGAGTGTCTAATAGAGTGGACAGTGTTTAAAAACTCCAGCAGCACTGCTGTGTCTGATCCACTCGTACCAGCACAACACACACTAACACACCACCACCACGTCAGTGTTACTGCAGTGCTGAGAATGATCCACCACCCAAATAGTACCTCCTCTGTGAGGGTCCATAGGGGTCCTGACCACTGAGTAAAATGGGGCTAACAAAGTATGCAGAGAAACAGATGGACTACAGTCTGTACTTGTAGAACTACAAAGTGCACCTATATAGTAAGTTAGATTTTCACTCACCTTGCACCTGTGTAAATGTGATGTGACAATAAATTAGATGATTTTGGTAACAGTACTATATCCTTTTAATGACAGCATGTTAGTAGTGTATATTAATATAGTATGCTGTATAGTATTATTATTTTTTCTCTTCCATCTAAAATAAAACATCCATGGTTCACAGATAACCATAACAGGCCTAGTATGTACACACAGAATAGTGCAACTACACATTAAAAAATTTGAAAAGTACTATTGAACTTAAATAAAAAAAAAAAAAAACTCTTTATCTTTTTGGGAACATTGGCCACAAATGATTAAAATAAAAACTAGCTCAGCTCTAAACTAGTTCAGCCAACTAAAAACAACTGCTCGTTTGAATTGAATTTAGACGACAACAGAAACAACCAAGCTGAACAAAGTTTTGAGAAAAGACAGCAAAATGATGGTGAATGTACAAAGTTAAAGTTGACTTTTTTTTTTCCGCCGGCAGCTTCTTGTTCGAATTTTCCATTTCACCTTATTTGGTGCAGCAGTTACGGTCAGATGCCTAACTGCTGCACCATTTAAGGTGGAACGACAAATTCCAACATGAAGCTTGCGAATAAAAAGTCAACATCAATGCTGCGCTTGTTTTACCTGCAGAAGCTGTTAAAATCTGTCAAATAGAGAGCTGTTTCATTTTGTTTTGCTACCATGAGGAAAATGGTTAGTTCGCCTGGTGAGTTTCTCCAGTTAGAATTTAAGTGCTGAACAAGGGCGCGTTGATACTCCTGTTTCCAGCTTATGGAGGCGAACTTGAACTCCAAACGCTTCACTTGTCTTCAGAAATAACATAAACTGAGCTTAAGCACAGTGACAGACGTCTGATGATGGTGCTGTATATCAGATTTACGACAGGAAACGAATCCATTCACATGAAAAGTAACCAACTGTGTTAGCAGTCTGCAGTCAGATGCCTCACCACATTTCTTCCACTTTGGGTCTCGAGCCTTTCCGAGTCATAGTCCAAGTTATTGGTGTTGAAGTCAAAGTCGAGTCGCGACTTTCTCGATTTTCTTGAGTCAGGTCTCAAGTCAGCAAATTCATGACTTGAGTCAGACTCGAGTCCAAGTCATATGACTTGAGTCCACACCCCTGGAAAACACATCAATTATTAGAGCACTTTTTGGCTGCGGCACCACCAAAATTTGAACTTGTGGTCTCCTGATGATGGTGTAAAACCTTTAACAGTTATGCCAGTGGTGAGTTCAATACAAGGGCCTCTGTTTAACTAAGATGACATCACAGGCTGAATTGGTGGATCTGACATAAACATATAAAATGCATCCAAACCTAACCTTAGCATCTGAAAACAACATTATAACATAAAAGAGAAGAACTAATAAAAACTAAGAATAATTATAGTTGACAAACAGATACCAAAAACACAAGCTCTGCTGCATGAACTATGTATTTAGGTTGCAATAAAACTTTGGGCCCGTCAATGAGTCCTGGCCGTTTGAAGGATAAGGACTGTGTTTTTGCTGTTAACTCCTGCATTAAGTTGTTCTATCAATTTTTGCAATCATCTGAACATGTACTGAATCCTTCCTGCTGTTTCATGGTGTTTAATTTCCTAAGAAAATTTGTTTATTATACCTCACCATTAGGCAATCTAGATGATTTGCCATTTGAAAGCAATTTCAAAACATTCTGTCACATAGATATGTACCTAGCTAAGTTTGCCTATCCAGATATAGCTGTGTATAGACTGCATTTAAATGGGTTTTTACTACATTTGACAGTCTTTCAAAACAATGATGTTCAGCCTACTGTTTTAGCCAACTGACTGTTGTTAAATATACTGACATTTGCACCTAGCTAGCTTGCTATTAAATATTGCAAATCAAAGTTATATTGGTTAGTGATGTTAGGTAGGAAAGCTGGGGTTTATAGTATTTTCCAAATCTGACCAAATGGCACTTGGCTATGAAGTGCTATGAAGAGGTGCCCCATTTCCAATGTTTTTTGTCTTAACTGTATTGTCTCTACCCCCACTTAGGTAAAAACAAAAGGCAGTTGCTCCATGCATACAGGATGTGTTCTTGATGTCAGATGGGTGGCATCATTTGGTACAGTTTGTCTGTTTAAGGCTTTAGTGCGACTTCTTTTTTGTCAAAAAAAAAATCTGAAAATATTTTCATGTAATTTCGATAACAAAACTTACAAGCACTGACAAGTACTGCACAGGAGTGTACAGTACTTTAAAAATGTAGTAAAAGGCATCTTGGCTGTCCATAATTTTGTCCATGTATGTCACAGTGCCAAAAACAATAAGCAAAGTCTATTAGTGATTACTTAAAACTAAAAATGATTTGAGGTGAAAGTGTGATAATTTAGACATGAAGTCTGCATTCTACTAATTGGTGGTTATAAATTCCATAAATTCCATTACTTGCTAGCTAGCCTCTAGGCCTCAGTACAAAGCTAAAAAAGCAAACTTCAGATACCAAATGTCAGACACTAAATGTCTTGACTGATTTGATTTGGCTTGTCTGTACTGTTAATATAGACTTGAGGTGACATGAGGTGTACTGAATTAGGGAATATTATGGATAAACTCAAATACACACACACATCTTCTAAACCGCTTATCCTTCTGGGCGGAGGGGGTGCTGGAGCCTATCCCAGCTGTCTTTGGGCAGAAGGCACCCTGGACAGGTCAATTCAAATACATTGATAAGATATTTCTTTACTTTAACTGCACAATGTACTGTGGCAACAAGAAACTGAGATTACAGGCAGCATATAAAAATTTCATTTAGCACACTATTTTTTCGTCTTTAAGCAACATTTTTGAGGCCATACATGGATGACTACCAACATAATGTAAGTTGTTAAAATGTATACTTAGCCTATGTCAAGTTACTTAATTTTTCATCTATACTCAGCTTTGGTCACTAAGCCACTAAATTAGAGGTCACTATAGTATTAGGCAGGACAAACAGACTAATGGTTTCTAGATATTATGCTCAGTAACTGACTTACTGGTAGCCGCAGAACGGTCAGCATTAGGTTAAAAAACAAGCTTTTCGAATATATAAGTACATAACATTTTGCAAGAGAGGAAACTCGCTGTTGTGAACGGTGACAACCTTTAATCCTATCACAGCTGGTTTCCACTACTTCTAAGCCCGCAAACAGTCTCAGTGTCATACGAAAATACATGTAGCTTGTCTGTTTGTAACAACTGCACCAAGGATATATTTAATTTTGTAAGCCAAAGTCGCCTTGTCATTCACGTTAAGGGCTATGAGCAGCCATCAGTGGTAGCTCATTATATTTTACATGGCTCGGATGCAGGGCGACCTAATAGCTAGCTACCTTAGCTAATATCGGTTTCTACTGGTTCATTCACGGGATCAAACATACAGCATATGACATCTACACATTTTTGTAGACATATTATGCACGGTGTAATGACAATCTGTTTCTATAAATGACCCTGGTTAGCCTCAGGCAATACTCTGAAGCAATGCTCTGATAACGGCTGAAAATCTTTCCGGTCCCTTTCTGAAAGCCCCACATCTCGTACATAAACAACCAGCGTGCAGATTGATTTAGCGTAACCATGCGGTAATCCATTTCATTCGAAACAAGGAAATAATATAAAGCGACGCTTACCGAAAATTAAGTCCTGACGACGAATCGAGGCCTGCTAACCTCAAATCCGAATCCATAGCCTTACATTTTTCTCTTTTTTTCCCTCCTCTGCGTTACCCCTCAGCATCAGCAGCCGTACAATGCAGCGATGGGTATTTTGTTTCCTACCCATATTCAGGCAATTTCCGCCTCCTGCGCTAGGATTTGCTGGAGGTGTCCTGCATCATGCGCTAGGATTGGTTAGTAGGTCTTATTCACAAGCAGTCCATCTGTCGTGCGTATGAACTACTAGTCCAATCCTAGCGCTAAATGCGGAATACGGGTGGGAGGAAAAAAACCCATAGCGCTGCAGTGACGGGTTCGAATGACGCTTCGCGCCCCGCCCTCTACGCGCTGCGAGGGTGAGCTCACCATGTTCATACGAATAAATATAAAACTAAAATTTGGAATACCAGATGTTGAACTGTAATCGAAAGCTATTCTTCGCCTGAACGCAATGATGACTGTGAATTTCGCAAATTACAGGGTTTGTGTAACTGTCACCCGTGCTTTTAGGCTTGCTTGTTTTATGCATTTACAGGTCGACCTTTGCCTTTGTTTTTATCTCTAGAATGTTATGGTCATTTGCTATGAATTTGGATACGTATTTGGCTACGTTAGTTGCACGTTGCTTGTTTTTCGTTTTTATTTCGCAAAGCTGTGCCAAGCAAGCTGCATTAAAATATTAAAGAAGAACATAAGACAGAAAGCCTTAGAGTGACGTGTGGAGGACATCTTGTTTGTTTGAAGCAAATGTATTGTCTTTTAGATACTTTCCTTATTTCTAGTTTTTGGTACACGCTTAACATATGCATAGTCTAATTTACATGAATTACAATTGCAGTTAGTGAGAGGGCTAGCATTTGTGGCTATGCCATAGACCTTTTCTGCTCGTCCATGTTAGCACTGTAAATAGAGTGATCTGTCGTTGACATGAGTTAGCAGAAGTTGCAAGTTTGGGAATTGTCTGTTGACCAACACAAACTGTGCAGCAGCAGACAAGGTAGGAGTGTCTAATAGAGTGGTCAGTGGGTGGACACAGTGTTTAAAAACTCCAGCAGCACTGCTGTGTCTGATCCACTCGTACCAGCACAACACACACTAACACACCACCACCTCATCAGTGTTACTGCAGTGCTGAGAATGATCCACCACCCAAATATTACCTGCTCTGTGAGGGTCCATGGGGGTCCTGACCACTGAAGAACAGGGTAAAATGGGGCTAACAAAGTATGCAGAGAAACAGATGGCCTACAGTCTGTAATTGCAGAACTACAAAGTGCACCTATATAGTAAGTGGAGCTGATAAAATGGACAATGAGCATGAAAACAAGGAGGTGGTCATAATGTTATGCCTGATCGGTGTACTGTGCAATGTTAAAATAATTTTTTTTGAAACTCCACTATTCAAAGAAACAAACATCAACAAGGTTTCAACAAAATGCTGAAATGGTGTGTGCTACAGTGTGGAAAACAAAATGTTAAAATGGTGTTTGCCACAGTATGGAAAATAAGCTAATTGTGGACAATTGGAGAACCACACCAACATTGTTGGTAGCTGGGTGGAAGAAGCCACTTTTTTGAATGTTCTATATTTTCCGTACTAGAGGTTAGTGCAGTGGCTAAGTAGTGTCTCACAACAGATTATTAAGAAAAATGTAGCCTAACTTCAATATAATATATACATTCATATTTTATATTCAGAACATTACAGTGACAAAGAACAAAATGTTTAACGTAAGCGTCATAGCAAAGAAATGGAGAATGGTTTGCAAGCTAGCTCAACTGACACTAGAAGTATTTAAGCCAATGGTACATACACACTAAAATACATACAGTATAACCATACATTTACCTACCCTGTCATACAGAAGCAATGCTGATCTTTTACTTCCATGTGATCTACACAGATCACTATTTGATGAAATACTATGTATTATTGTTATTATTATTATTATGGCCAAGAAACTTGACACAGGACCATTCTTAAACCTGGAAACTCAGTTAGAATGTAAAGATTTATGATTATGCACAATGCAAATTGGAAACATCACATTGATTCCTCCTTCCGCACCCTTCTCCCCACTGTGCTGCACATTGCTGCACAGTGCTTTTACCTTCAGCAAACACCTAAATAAGAATATAGCAAGAGGCAACTTTGAGGAATACAGCCCAATGACCCAGTTTTATGGGTGTAGATTAAGCCTAGTCTAGGATTAAATTACAACATCAATGGCCTTTTTAGTCTAGGATTATCTGGGCCAGTTAAAGCAACTATATATTTGAACAGGGGGATGAAAAATAATAAATTAGTGAGATTTTTTAAATTTATCAGTCAATAATTGTTTAACCATACATTTAACAACAATTGCTAAATTTTATACAGTACTAAGGAGAGGACAGTGGAGTGTCCTATGCCAGCACTAGCTTAGCATACCAGCTCTGGCTAACAGCTCATCCTACCATGGAACAGGTTAGATTCTGTCTTTTTGTCACTTCAACAGCAGTCTCTTGACTCATATTTGAGTGTTTTTACTCTAATCCAGGATTCTCAAAGTCTGGTTTTGGAGGGCTGGAGTCTAAGAGTTTTTCAATTTCCCTGCTCCAACATCGGGTGTGTTTGAGCAGGAATCACCAAACAGTGCTGGATTCTGGCCCTCCAGGACCAGACTTCTTCTCTCCTCTCCTCACCTCCTCATAAGACACAAAAGTCAAAAGGGGGCAGACAAAATATTTAGCAAAAACAACGACACACAATTATTGTAATTAAAAAACAACAGTTGATTAATGATAATAACTTGCCTTTGTATACAGAGAAGATGGGCACCTATAGTAATGACATCACTCTACTGTGCTCTGCTGTGTTAGCATAACCGTAGTGCTTAAGAGAATATTTCAGCATACCTGATAGACTGCACGTTGTTGATGCCACCAAAGTGTGGAATAGGACAACTGCATGGCTTAGGATGCCTTGATCAAATATTTACTTTAAAATGCCAATATGCATGGTTAAATGTCTGTTAGAATGCAAAACTGAATGTCTGTTAGAAGCTTCAAATGTCTGTTTGAATCAAAGCTTAAATGGCAAAGTGTGAACTACAGGGGGTTGTGGGGGTCTGAATAACCTCTTTGATACCCTGAGTGTCAAAAACTTAAAAATCAGGGGGGTCCATGAAAATAAAATTATGATGTTATGCTGTCTGTTAAGGAAAACTCAAATACAAATTTAGGGAAAGGCCATTGTATAGCATGTTTGGCTTACATTTGGCAAGATTCTCTTTTTGGTATTCTTAACTAATTAGAGATGCTGCACTGGTCTGCCTTGTGGTGGTGCTGTAGCAAATTGGTTCAACAATTCGTCCTTTAACTGTACCTATGGCTTGGATACCTCTGAAAAACTTTACAATGTGCAGCAGCATATTTGTTACTCTAAAACTTGTCCAGTTTTCCAAGAGATTTGTGGAAACCCATATGGAAAAAGAATATGCGGACATATATTTTTATATATTTGAAATACATTTCAGATACATTGAAATACAAAATACCTTACAAACACTAAAATGTATTTCAGAATATATTGCCATATAAACCAAATATATTTTAAAATACATTTATTTCAAAATTTATGGGGAAATACCACACCTAGAAATGTATGATAGAAAAATAAATGTACGTAAATATATTTGTCAAATACATTTGAAAATATATGAAAACAGGCAAAATACTTGTCTAATACACTTTATTGTTCGGAATACCTTTTGAAATAAATTTGTATTCCATTATCGTAATTTATGTATTAGCAAATGGACCTTTAATATAGCAAAACCAAGTGTTGTAGGTATTGATAAAATGTGAAAATGCAGTATGATGATTTGATTACCTGTTTATTTGAAATACATTTTGTGAGCACTGAATTACCACACACATACAAGTTAGCGCAAAGTACAATGCAAAACACAGAAGTCATTATCATTTAGTTGTATCTGTAACCTTTGTTAATGCTACATACAGTTAAAAACAATATTATAATAAATACAAATAAATGCATTTAAAAATATATTTAACAAATACATTTTTTACACATTGCAACATATTTGATAAATACATTTGGAAAATACATTTAAAATGTATTGTAAAAATATATTTAACAAATACATTTTTTGGCCAATTTCATACATTACAAAAGTATGTTTGATAAGTACCATTGGAATATATTTTGGCAAGAGTGAATTGTTATTAATTTCTCAAACTAAAGGTAAATGAGTAGATGTGCAAGATCTCAACTGATGTGTTGAAGAGCACATCACCAACCTAAAAAAGAGCACTTCCAAAAGAAAAAATGTTAAACCAAACATTTTGTTAGCATTGAAACTAGCATGCTACTATTTCAAACATTGTGGCACTGAATATGTGCTACCGCAGCAGCTCTAGATGGAACACATTAGTGATTGTTTTGCAATGTAATAGTGTAGACCTATGCATGTTTCATTCTTTTATTACAGTAGGCTATTACACTGTTTGACTTAATCCATAGACAGTAAGTATGAACTAGGCATTCGATTCTTTATTGCTGATCTGGTGTCTCTGTGAAATGAGTTACTGCAAACTCATAATATCACTGAGTTACTGCTCAGTTGGTGGAAGATGATTTTCTTTAATAGCTCCTAAGCTCCTAACAACATTCCAGAGAATATTACCAGTGGAAACTTGATAGGTGTTTTTAAATTCAGATTAAAAACATATTTGTTTAGGCTACGTTAGCTTTGTAGTATTATGGCTCATTCCTCCTGGTTGTAACTGAGATGTTATTTTCATTTAGAGCATAGCATAGTATGTTTTACTTATATTCCTGTATTTGTAACTAAAATGAAAAGTGCTAGATCAAAAATGTAGATTATTATTGCTATAATTATGAGTTAAGAAAAACTTGGGTGCTGGTTGGATAGTTTAGTCATTTATTCAATATGAAAGAAAGAAATTATATTAGTGTTGTATGTATTTATGTAGGTGTCATGTAGTAAGTAAAACAGAAGAGCTAACAGCTTTTCCATGTCATCCTGATGTTCAATATATTAATTTTTGATATTTATTATATAACATACGGAACCAAACTAAAACATTTTAAAACTAAAATTAGGTCCTTGGTCCTCCTTAGTCTCAGTCAAACATGGATAGAGAGCACTTCCTCCTGAACTCCTGTCCCCGAGTGTGGATCCACTTATTGGCAACTAGATCAAAGATTTAAAAGTAATATTTTTAAGTTACATGTTCTGTGCGTTCACACAGGTTATAGAATGTGCAGGAAATATACCTAATGGAAACATTTCCTGGAAACAAATATTCTATATATTTTAGCATTAGTTTGTGTCAGATATAATTGTTGTTTCATGTATTATTATCATTATCATTTTCCTGATTTGTTTGTGTACAGTGGAATAGCTTATGAAATAATGATAAACTATTTATTGAAAACTTACCCCACTTGTTGCCTGCAAAAACAGGGCATGCAGCATGCAGGGTCCTGGCATCCTCTTTTCCACTCTTTAGTAGGTTGAACCAAACTACTGCCGAACCCTGCATAAGCAGAGAAGTGATTACTTTTCTGCTTAAAAATAATTTATAAAGTTTACACCATTTTATTTGCATATTATTTTATTTATATTTCAATTCAGTTTATTTTCATTTATTTTTCTGCTAAATAAAGAAAAAAATGATATTCTGTTACTCATGTAAGGTTTTGTTACTACAGTGAGGAAACATAGCAGGGACTTCTATGTTTACTAACTCTTTTAGGTTGAAGTGCTGCACCGATGTTTGGAAAAACAGTGGCCCCACCAATTTCCACATCAGTCATCTGATACAAACAAGGGAAGATATTAATGATCTGGACATCACATGAACTGAACTGTTCAGAAAAAAGAACAATAACAGGCCTACATAGACTAAGACAGTTGCAATCCTTTCCCCATGGAGTTCAAAGTAGGAGTCGTTTGTCAGCTGTAGAGTGAACACAAATGAAAAACTTCATATACATCATATACACATATCAAATTCAGAAAAATCCTCAACTACAACTACAAAGGAGTACCTAAAAATACGCTACCACATTACATATCCACTACATGCAATCAAATGCAAATTTTGGGCAACTCTGGTCAAATGACATGTTTTGTTGACATTATATATATATACAACTGTAACTGTCGATGTGACACGTGTGAGTTAAAATTTGCCTAATTTAAAATTTGAAATTTGTATAATTTTATGGCCCACCCTTGAGTCATAGTGAGGTTCATATTGTCCTCCAATTCCATAATTTGCAACCTGAAAGAGAAAATAAAACATGTTTCACTAAGTGGGCAACAGGTTCATAAAATCCACAGGTTTAGGGGTGTTAAAGCAGCACTTCTGAGCCACAAAACTAAGCTAATCTAGCTAATTCTTTACAGCAAATGTTTGTATGAAGCAACACAATCATCATACAGTTTATTAGAAACGCCTACACTAAACTTACCTTTAGATGCATTATTTAGGTACAATTAGACATTGTGCACTTGCTACAGTTTTCATTGGTAAGTTGCTGACTACAGGATCTCTGCTGACCAAATATTATCTGTGTGGTGTGTCATTCTTAAAGCTGCTCTATGTAACATTTGTTTGTTAAAATTGAAAGAATTCATATTACTGAAAAAAATCTGTTAAAATATGGCATCTTGCGTAAAGCCTGAAATATTCATTCAAATGTCAGAGCTGTTGGGTCAGATTTGGTGTTTTTCATCTGTGTTTTTCAGATCATGTCAGTTATGTATTGACATCTCAAACACAGACGTAAAAAGAAGATCTGGCTCAATATGGGCTGTTTACCTGAGCAATGCTGGTGGGAGCGTTGCTCATAGTGCTGATCTGTACAGTGCTGACAGTTAGTGAAAAAAAGGAGAGAGATATCACTTAATATTGAGACATCGGAATCCCAGGGATCCTCTGCAGATAATCTCGAAATAAGCATTGAATCAACATTGGCTTGGCTTTTCAGAGGTGGCAACAGCTCTGTTACCTGAAGGGACTCAGGAGTGATAATAAATTGGCTTTTTTATTGCTGGACAGGTAAGTTATGTTGGTTGTTTGCTAGCTAGCTACCAAAAATAGCCAGTCAGATTATTACTGTTGTGGAATATAATGTTACCCTTGTAACCTAATGCAATGTACCCTTGTAATTGTTAAGTTGTTTTAGTTGTTAAGCTAATGTTACCTAGCTAAATCTCTAATATTACACGATTACTTGACTAATGGAGTTTATCCTTTATAGTTTGTTAAACTAGGCTAGCCATTTCTAGTAATTTTCAGTGCTACCATCTGTCTCCTTTCATAAAAGCAACCAATATAAAATATTCTTGGCTAACATAGCCTAAATAGATATCTGACTGGGTAGAGGCTTACATACATTTACATTTACGGCATTTGGCAGACGCTCTTATCCAGAGCGACTTACAATTTGATCATTTTACACAGGTAGGCGAAGGTAGTGTTAGGAGTCTTGCCCAAGGACTCTTATTGGTATAGTATAGGGTGTTTACCCAGCCTGGGATTGAATCCCAGCCTACAGCGTAGAAGGCAGAGGTGTTACCCACTACACTACACCAACATACACATAGCCATACTTACCCCCTCGGAACACAGCACAACCCATGTTACAAAATGTTCTTTTACATGTTTTATGCAGTTATATAGAGAGGTCAGAGGTCCCCAAATTTGCCACACTTACAAAGTACAGCTTTAACACTGACATTGGCATAGTAGTGACATAGTATTGTGTGTAGTCCTAGTATGAATGTATCAGGTACAGCAGTGTTGCTGGGATATTTACACACATCAGTGTCACTGCTAGGTTGATAATGGATTGCCACCCAAAGTTATCCAGCCAAGAGCAGCTCTGTGGTCAGAAAACTAGCTACAGTATCTAACTGTACACAACAAGGTGGAGCTACAAGGCAGGTGAGCTACAAGGCAGCTGAGCCCACTAAATGTAATAGCATCCAAAAGTCTGAGACCACATTAAAAATCTTCGAAATTGATTTTTTTAAATTATAACCTGGAAAGAGAAATTTTTAGAATTTTAAAAATTTAAAAAACGTTGACAAATAAAATTATAAGAGATTCAGGATTTATAGGCCTCTATGCAAATTTATGTTTGTGACACTGACTGTGGTAAGGGCTGTGTACAAAAAGGTCAGATTTTATTTATTTTTTAATTTATTTTGTGGAATCTTTTGGAATCCATTCCACTGAAGCATGTGTTCTGATGACTTTCAGGTGGATTTGATTTACTCACCTGAGGGTTTTGCACAGATTTGTTGAGTCCATGCCAGTCTAAGCAAAGTGGCAACATACCAAATACTAATAAATTCTGAAATTTGTCTAAATAAATAAAGATTCTACTCTTCTTTGAAACTGTTATGCTGATGCTATAATTTGGAAAGAAAATAAGTAATTAAATTAGATAGGAATGCGTAATAGAAGCATTTTTACTAGTGGTCTCAGACTTTCAAACCCCGCTACATGTACACAACCAGTTCTAAGATAGGAATTTCAGATATCAATCATTTTCTGGAAGTGTGAACAAAAGGAAAAAAGATAATGAAACTTTATTTACATTCAACTCTGAAGAGCAGATTTTTTCAAAACCTGTTCACATTAATCAAAAAACTCAAAGCCTTCAAGTGCCTAGATACTTGTCCTGTAAGTTTAGGAACACTGTCCTAGCAGAAGATCTAAAGAAAGCCTTAAAAACTGTACCTGCAGCTCCTCTGCCGTTTCCATGTCCAGACCAGTGATGGCAGCTATTCTCTGATTGGCACGGGCAACCACAGGACTTTCATCTTCAGACAACCAGGCACTAAGAGTAAGAAAATAACAGTTGACTAATCTGTCTGATATACATCCTTGCCTGAAATTCAAGACTTTGAGAAGCTCTGAAATACAATACATAGGGAATTTAACAAAAGTCAGTGTACAGGAAATAAGGGTCCCTGGTGAATTGTAATTCATGCAAGAATAGCTGTTTTAAGAATGTTTTTAACATGTTCTTTTTTCACATTGTACTCTTCATGTATTCCACACTCAACACTGCGTACCTTTTTGACACACGCACCATCGAAACCATTTTCCCAGCAACTGGGTCTGAAACTGTAGCTCTATCAAGCTAAGGATAACAAGAAAAGTTATTAATTTGTGTTTGAGTTATTTTTCAGAGCAAAATTATAACCATATGATAAGCATTGTAGTAAAGTTCAACTCCTTGTTTTTAAATAGCTGCAAGACCAACAGTTCTCACAAAAAAATCTTAATTTCTTCATTCCTGTGACATGCATTTAAACTTTAGGTCAAAGCATGACCTAAAATGTAGATGTAATGCCAAACATACTGTAAAAATATGTTTGATATAATACCAGCTAATATCCAGTAATAGATCCAGAGAACTATAATTTCACATTTACCTTTGGTCTGGAAAGTCTTTTAATGATTTCTATGTCACTTATAGACAGAAGGTCATGGTATCTGAGGATGAGTGGTTGATCCCACTCCTCTTCCTCTTTAGCAGGGGCATAGATTAGTAGAGGGTTCCCTCCACCTGTTGTGTACCTACAAGCCAGCTTCTTCTCTCTCTGGGGTGTCTGCCAGTCAAAATGTAATGTCATACTTAGTGTAAATATTATATACCACCTCATAGAATAACTTCTTATTAACACTTCTTTGGATTCACAGTATTTCAACATCTGAACAATATAGTTAAGGACAAAACATGAAATGATAGTTACTTCCCCCCACCCCTGCCCCATAAGTCTCAGAAACAATGTATTTTTTCTTCAGTCCACCACTTAGTCTTAACCTTTTTACCATTTTGATGCTTTCTCCTCTACATAGGGCCTCGTATTCACTGTTCCAAGGAGGACTCAGAGCAGAAATGTCGGAAGGAGAGATGGAGAGGTGCATGCCATTCTGGCCTTTCATATTTTCCAATAGGCTGTTCGGATGTGCAAGCTGGAGGAGACTCTTCAAGTTCATGAGATCTGTAAAGGCATGTAAAACACGTTGTGACTTAAAATCTGCAAGCCAAGCCTGCTGGGATAAATCGCATTCATCCTTTTATAGAAACAACGGGATTCATCCCAGCATGCTTGGCTCGCAGATTTTAAGTCAGAAACTTCATCAACCCAGCTAATCTCATCAGCATGAAGCCTTCCTGGTCACCCCTCTGCCCCCAAAACTGTCTCACAGACCCTAAAACCTGTGCTTGCAACAAAATTATTAACAGGTCCTACATAGAAAAAGCATTGGCATTATTCAGTTAAACATTAGGAGCCACTTTAGCTTGACAAATTGGATAACATGAAAAGCAAAGGCAGAGCTCTATTCAAAGCCAGAGTGTTGCTTTAGTTAAAACTGTGGCTTCTGTCAGTTCCAAAGTGGAAACTGTGAACAGTTCCACTGATCCGAGCTACCAACCTTTCATAATGAAAGGTACTGTTTCATTGTCGGGTGAGGAGCAGATTCAGGTCCCAATCACAATTCTGTGTGATACTGGTGCAGCACAGTGGCTTCTTTTAGCTTTAGAGTATTGCCTTTATCCAACCGGGCCTTTTGTGGAACTCATGTGTTTTGTAAGAGAATAGCTATGCAGTCTGTTAAAGTGCCCCTGCATTCAGTCTCCCTTTGTTCTGACTTGGGGTCTCTTCTGACAAAGGGATATTCCGTGTAGGTGTGTGTAAATCTCTACCTGTGGATAGTATTGCTTTTGTAATGGTTAATGACATTGCTGGAGACAAGGTTTTGCCTTCTTTAGACTCCTCACACACTCCCGTTGTTTCTCCTTTGTCTAATGCGCTGGTTGATGTTCATTCTGTAACATCTTTTTATTATTAATGTTTCATTTTTTTATACGTACTATGCTACTTTTATTATTAATGTTTCATTTTTTTATACTACACTGTTAAGATTTTAGCCATTATAATTACTAAATTAACTTTTATTATCTGATATGTTCTTACACATTATTAATCCTGTATCAACTCGAAAACATTGTAAATGACGGTCACCCTCAGTTGTTCTCCACAGTTAAATAAAGGTTGATTGAAATCCATTCATCAAATGCTGATCCTAAGTGATTTTAATCTGAACTGGTTCCGATCACACCAATGGAACTAATTACAGAACCAGCACGACCAGCACTTGTGTGACCCCAACAAGTCAACATTAATAGACTTACTTTTATCCAACAGAATTACTTCTATAGGTGTATCGGATGGTGGTTAGAAGAAATCTTAAACATTTAATTATCAAGCCTTCTTAAATGATCTGGTGCTCAGTGACATCCACTACACTTCTGAAATCCCAGATACTGATTTAGCATTAGACCACTTTAGCATAACTTTTCTGGCGGTGGTAAACAAGCATGCACCTTATAAAAATGGAAAAAAATAGAGATAATCAAATACCTGGTTCAATTCTGAAATATCTTCCTTGCTCAACACAAGATATAAAGCATGGGCCTTTGCAAGAAGAAATGGTGACATAGACCAATGGCTTAAATTCAGGCAGCTAAATGTACTTCCTAAACCAGAGAAGCTAAAGCTGAATATTGTCTTAAGATATTTACAAGTTCAGCTTCAAACTACCCCAAATTCTGGACATGTACTTAGTAAAAAAACAAATCAATGCCTATTCCAACACATATTGTAATTAATGATCAACAGATTACTGATCAGAAAGGAATCTGCCAAGCATGAATGATCAACTCAAAACATTTCTTCACAAAAATTCAGTCTTGTCTAACTACCAATCTGGTTTTTAGAGAAAAGCATAGCACAATCTCTGCTGCTACTCTCATCTTAGATGATCTTTTCAGTGTCATCCATAGAAAAAAACAAAGTGCAGTCATTTTATTGATCTCTCTAAAGCCTTCGATACAGTTGATTATTCCCTACTTTTAAAAGGTCTACAAAATATTGGTTTTGACCACATAGCTACAAACTGGATAAGAAATTATCTGTCCAATAGAAACGTGTGACCCTGGGAAAGTAAATCAGAGCTACTACCGGTAACTAAGGGGATCCCTCAAAGTTCGATCCTTGGACCAGTATTGTTTAATATTTATATTAATGACATTGCCACCTCAATTGTTGGTTACAAGGTCCATTTATATGCCAATGACACCGTGTAACATACTGCTTGGCTGACTATATTGGTACTGTAGTGGATGAACTGCAGCATTCTTTTAATGCCCTACAATCAGCTTTTTACAATCATAAACTAGTTTTAAATGTTGTGAAAAATATGCTGTTTTCCAGAGCTTCTAACATTCATTTTAAGACTTTTTAAATCACAACCCTGAAGGGATCTGACATTGAAGGAGTTAGTGAGTACGAATAGCTTGGCATATGGCTAAATGATGAATGCACTTTTAAACACCATATTAACCAGCTCACATGTACTGAGGCAAAAACTTGGCTTCATATGTCGAAACAAAATATATTTCCCAATGCACACAAAAAAAAAAGATTGTTGAAGCAACACTATTATCTACCCTGGATTATGGGATTATGGTGATGTAATCTACAGAAATGCATCTGCAACTACTCTAAAATCTTTAGACTCTGTGTACCACTTTGCTTTAAGATTCATTACTGGTGACCCATACAACACCCATCACTGTGTACTGTTTGGCTGGCTGGTTGGCTGGTCATCTCTATCTGGGTGTTGGGAGACACATTGGCTTCTTTTTATCTACAAAACACTTACTGGCCATCTGCCATCATACAATACAGAAATGCTCTGTGTAAATAATGCAGTTTATCAGACTCGTTCCAGTGATTGGATCCAGTGAATCCAGTGGATTCCAGTGATAGGTGCCAAGAGCTTTTACTGAATTGGGAAAATCTGCTTTTAGCTACAGTGCACCAGTTAGCTAGAAAGTATTACAGGAAACTCTAAAGCTTTGCTTATTGGTGTCACATGAACATTTGAAACTTTTAGTCTCTAACCACCTCTGCTCAGCCTGCAACTCTTTTACTTGATTTTAGTTCACTTTTAAAGTGATTCTTGGGATGTTTTAGTTATTATTTCATTTCTGTTATTCTATTTTTATTTATTTTAATATTGCCAAGCTATTGTTTTACATCTTTTATTTATTTATTTATTTATTTCATTATATTTTGGCTCCATTCTGGAAAAACTGACTGTGTCAGAACTGTTCACAGGAACCTGACATTTGAATAGTTTAAGCTATTACACATAAAGTTAATACGTGAAAATAAGGAAACAAGTTTTTTCAGATTAACCACAATTTTACCGTTATTGACATTACATGTAAGACTTGTGTAGACGTGTAGAAAGCCTGTCTATTGATGCACCATTTCACTCAAGCCACTTTAAAGAAATTTTTGCAGAAATTTTGAAAAATTCACCTTCAAACTATAAAACTGATATAGAATAAATCTACAGAAATTCTGGAAGTTCCTACACATACAGAATCACATGATTAAAGGAAAACTGCAAGATGTATAATCTAGATTTACCAGGGGGTAGTAACTGCCCCAAAGCGATGGGCAAATTCCATGCTTGAAATGGAACAGAGCCAAGAAGGTGCAGAACTTCCTGTTTGGTCACCATGGCATCTGTGCCTTCATCAAGCTTCTTCAGAGTCTCCTGTATCCAAAGACTGGCAGACTGGAACTGCTGATTCTGGTGAGCAACCACTGCAATATGAAATGTTTCATCTGGGTCCAAGGTCAGTGTATTTTCCAACCCTGAAAATAAAGGAGAATTAAAATTTTATGATTACTACTAATGAAAACTAAATCTCCACTAGAAACATAGCATCCAGAAATTAACATGAAGAAAATACGTACAATGAATAAAAAGTTACTATAAAACCCACCACTCTTTGGATTCTTTGGACTCTTTGGACACCAATTCTTTGGATCTATCCTGTAGACATCCTGCAGTCTAAGCATTGCCATTGCAATGCCTTCCAAATCACTTTCACTGGGAAGCACCTGAGCCTTTGACATTAGTGCCTTCAAATCTATGCCAATGAAATAGTTCAAAGAAACAACTGCAATGAATGACACTGATTTTCTAAAGCATTATTCCATGCAATGAGTCTGTGTATTAAATATTGTCTGTATATTGCCTAACAATGAGATGGAGAACCAATCTAACAAAAGTAATGAAGAATTCCAAATTAATTGCTCTTCTTGTTTACTTAGTTATCAGTGCTAAATTCTGGCAAATCTTTTTGCATTGCATTAACTATTGTATCTTTAACACATAAACAATTTTGAAACATTAACAGAAAAATTATATGAAGAAAACTGCCAACCAGAAACAATTGTGAACAATGTGACTTGAATGAAAAACGTTTTAAAATGTTTTTCATGTACATTTTCAAGATGTACTCTAAACATATTCTAAATATGTTTTAAATGTATTCTGAATATTACTTTTTTATGTATTGTAATGAAATACGTACCTAAATACAATTAGGACAGTGTATTCAATATTCAGCCATCACTACTTTTCAAGTATATTGCCCAACTCTCTCTATAGTTTTAGAAAATCAATACTACTCCATGAAATAAGTATTTAATGAATTTGCACCTTTTGCTTGCCCCTCAGGGGCAGATTCCCCCTGCAGTAATTCAGTTCCTTCTGCCATGGTCTGAAGACTCAGCTATTCAGGAAATACTTAGGGTAACGCCTTACTACACTCATTTGCACTTCATTTTGGTCTTTTCTCTTTAATCCTCAGCACTTTACCTGTTTTAATACTTTATTTAAAAATGCACTTAATTAATTCTTAAGTATCTACACTTGCATTTGTTTTTTTTTTTACATGATTAAGCTATGACATAGCTTGTGTGTCTTAGGTATGCTGCATTGCATTTGTTTAGTCGCTCTGGATAAGAGCATCTGCTAAATGACTAAAAGTGACATGATAAAAGGTGGTGCAACCGGACAACCCAGTATTCAGATAAACTTATATTTCGAGTTACCATATATATTATGGTAAATTTCATGACTTTATTACAGTATCACTGTCTAGACCGGGGTTGCCCAAGTTACCCAGTTGAGTATCTTCAACTATCCCACACATTTGTACGAGTCCTGCTCTTAGCACATGAGCTATAATCAGTACCTAGCCTGGGCATGTTGAGAACTGCAATAGAAGAAAATGTGGGCTGATCCATTGCATCTGTGAAGGACGAGTCATTTACCATATGTTTTAGATGGAAATGAAAACCTGTGAAAAACCAAATCCTATGTGCACTGAAAAACTGACCATTTAAAAGTTTTAAATGGTCATGTCAGGTCTTAACTCTCAGTAATTCTAACAGGTTACTGAAGCCCTATCAATCTGCCTAATGTTCATCTACCGGTGTAGCTTATATAGCTACTTCTTGTTCAATTTTGTCAAATCTTGTCAAATCCATTTATTCTGTATTGGTTCTTTTGAACATATACACTACAGTTCACCTGACCCTCTGACATGCTTTTCTTGGTGACTTCCTCGAATACTGTGCCTGCATTTCTTAGTTGTCTCACAAGCTTGTATGCTGTCAGGGGGTTGCTAATGAATTTTTCAGGGTCTTCAGAACCATCAGAGATGCTGTCAAGACCTTGAAGAACCCTGTTAGAAACATTCAAAATGGCAAGGTGATGTGTTCTGTAGCTGAAGATAAAAAAGATGATCACAGTTATCTTGTATGTAATCACACCGCAATGCTTTAAATAAAACACTATCAAGTTGACTGGCATCAAGTAAGAATACAAGCCACCCGTGAGGAGGCTAGATTTTTTTCTAAAGTAAAATGTTTTATAGATATACAGTGATTAAACTTTTTAGTAAAGTTTCTACTGACATCAACATTCAAGTGAAAATATTCAGAGAAATCTATGCATGTTCTATGTACCATAAAGGAACACCATACAGAGTTAAATGGTGAGACATTACCTTTTCAGCAGACATGTCTGGTTTTCCAAGGCTGAAATGTAGTTTTCAAGACACTGAGAAAAATGCTTCTTTATGCCGATGAGCTGTGTCATATGATCTGTAAACCATATTTGCTTTATTAAGTTATTTCTGCTTACTTCTTGAGTTTGTGAAGTCACCAAAATAGAAAAAGCTTAGAAATCTTGATTGTCTTTCATCTGAACCCTAAACCAAGACTAGAATTTAAAGTGAGTGATGGGCAACTGTTGGTAAATAGAACAGTACATATTAGACTAGAGTCTAAACACATTCTCTGAACAGTTATATATCATGTGTATAACTCCACCAGTCTAATTTAGCGTAACAGAGTTGCAAGGCCATTTTTACTCACACTATGCAACTGTTATGCACTTTTGCCTTATCCATGACACAGCTAAACTAACTGACGACATAATTATCACAATTGTCATGTAGCTACACTTAATTACATCACTAATTACAGTATATCTACAATGTGAGTACTACTTGCTTTAGGTTTCTATTTGTTTAGAAATCATGAAATCATCAAGAATTTCCAATGAGCCCCTATTCATGCATCCCTTTCTTACCTCTTAGAATGCCACAGCAACATAGAAGGTACATTTCTAGTCACGAAAACAGTATATAGTACCTGTTGAGGAGTAGAACTCATTCTTTGCAGTACAGAAAGTCCAGTGTGATAACAGCATAATGATCCACTTCAGTTTCATTTTTTGTCAATTTTAATGTTCAGTTATTAGAACAAAGTGTAGAAATCAAGCAGACACATCAGGGCACTTAGTACTAAGATGAAATGGTAGGGTGTTGCTTGAGTTATACTGGATATAGGTCTTACCCCAAAACAGGACTTGAGAAATCCCCATGAGGTCACAAGCCAACAACAAAAGGAAGGCAAGAATTAACAAGTTACATGTGCACAAGAGTAAATCCAGGCAATTATGTTGTGAAACAATGCAAGAGTAGGGCCATCATTAACTGAGAAAGACAAGGATAACAGAGATCAGTTTTGTGCCATTCATAACTGAATATTAACAACCTTCTAACAGTCTCATTTTAAAAGCAAAAAGCTAAACTATTACTAAAGGTATGCTACAGATACCCTATAGATATACACTATATGGCCAAAAGAATTTTGACATCTGTACATCACACTCATAAATCTTGTTGGACATCCCATTCCAAAACCATGGGGTTTCATATGTTGTTGCCCTCCCATCTTGCTGTTATATCAGCCTCAACTCTTCTGGAGAGGCTTTCCTCAATTGTTGCACATCTGTGGGAATTTTTGCCCATTCAGTCTAAAGAGTATTTTTGAGATCAGACACTGATGTTGGAAGGCCTGGCTTACAATTGATGTTCCAATTAATTCCAAAGGTGTTTAGTGGAGTTGAGGTCAGGGCTCTGTACAGGCCACTAGAGTTCCTCCACACCAAACTCACCATACAATTTCTTTATGGGCCTCACTTTGTGCACAGGGCAAAGTCATGCTGGAACAGGAAAGGGCCTTCCCCAAACTGTTGCCACAAAGTTAATAGCATGTAATTGTGTTAAATGTCTTTATATGATATAGACTTAACATGACCCTTGGAACAAAAAGGCCAAGCCCAAACCCTGAAAAACAGCCACAGACCATTACGTCTCCTCCACCAAACTTTGCTGTTGGCACTTTGTATTCAGATATGTAGCACTGCACTTTAGACCACCAAACCCAGATTCACCCATCAAACTGTCAGATAGAGAAGCTTGATTCATCACTCCAAAAAAAAAAAAAAACATTTCCACTGCTCCAAAATCCTGTGGTGGCATGCTTCACACTGCTTCAGCTGACACTTGGCATTGTACATTTTGATCTTAGCTAGTGTAGCTGCTCGGCCATGGAAACCCATTTCATGAAGCTCACAATGTGCAGTTCTTTTGCTAATATCGCAATGGGTGTTGCTGAAACACTGGAACACAATTATTAGGAGGCTATATAGTGTAGACTAAATTCATCTTTTTAAAAAATCTTTTTAGTTACATACACTAACACAAATTCATTGATTCACTTCAATGTGATTTTAAAACTGTGTGAAAATTTAGCTTGAATGGAAATATACGGGATCAGTCAGCAATACACTACAAAGAAACTACAACCCCATTTCCAAAAAAGTTGGGATACTGTGCAAAATGTAAATAAAAACAAAATGCAATGATGTGCAATTTAACCCATATTCTTAACTGAAAATTGTACAAAGACAACATATCAAATGCTGAAACTGAGAAGTTTTATTGTTTTTTTAAAAAATATGTGCCCATTTTGAATTTGATGCCAACAACACGTTAAAAAAAGTTGGGACGTGGGCAAAAAAAGACTGGTGCTTGATTGGCAACTGGTCAGTAACATGATTGGGTATAAAAAAGCATCCCAGGGATGCTGAGTCTTTCAGAAGTAAAGATGGGGAGAGGTTCACCACTCTGTGAAAGACTACATGACCAAATGGTGCAACAATTCAAGAATAACGTTTCTCAACATAAAATAGCAAAACACTTGGGGATTTCATCATCTACAGTACATAACATCATTAAAGGTTTCAGAGAATCTGGAGAAATCTCTTTATGCAAGGGAGAAGGGCAAAAACCAGTATTTGCTGGCCGTGATCTTCAGGTCCTCAGGTGGCACTGCATTAAAAACAGACACAATTCTGTAGTGGAAATCATTGTATGGGCTCAGGAACACTTCTGAAACCCACTGTCTGTGAAAACAGTTCATCACTGCATACACAAATGCTGTTAAAACGCAAAGAGGAAACCAGACATAAACAGGATCCAGGATTGCTGCCACCTTCTTTGGGCCAGAGCTCATTTAAAATGGCCTGAGGTGAAGTGGAAAAGTGTCCTGTGGTCCGACAAATCAACATTTGAAATTCTTTTTGGAAATCATGGACACTGCATCCTCTGCGGTAAAGACCACTCAGCTTGTTATCAGTGCACAGTTCAAAAGCCAGCATTCATGATGGTATAGGGGTGCATCAATGCACATGGTATGGGTGACGTGCACATCTGTGAAGACACCATTTATGCTGAACAGTATATGTACATGTTTTGGCAATATATGCTGCCATCCAGACAATGTCTTTTTCAGGGAAGGCCCTGCTTATTTCAGCCAGACAATGCCAAACCACATTCTGCCTGTATTACAGCAGCATGGCTCCATAGTAACAGGGCCCAAGTGCTAAACTGACCTGCCTGCAGACCAGATCTGAAAACATGACGCATTATAAAATAAAAATACGACAAACGATACCCCAAGCTGTTGAGCATCTTCACTTTCAAAACTACAGCAACTGGTCCTCAGTTCCCAAATGCTTACAGAATGATGTTAAAAGAAGAGGTGATGAAACACAGTGGTAAGCATGGCCCCATCCCAACTTTTTGGGAAAGTGTTATTTCTACATACTCTTCAGTATAGAAATTGAGTAACAAGCTTACAAAGTGTCTCATTGACCATTCTGAATTTCAAATGCAGGGCTGCAGGTCAATGCTTGCACGCTGGTGAGTGGGAGATATGGATTATACGGTTATCAATGCAATGAATGTAAACAGCACCGTGGAAGTGTTGTATGCTGCCATCTTGTCATTTGTCAATTTTCTGATGCTCTGTACTGAACAATGCGAAGAGCCAAAACTGGGCTTAGTTTATCTAAAGTACCATTTTTGATACAAATGTTGATATCTTGCAAAGTTTTTGCAATTCACAATTATTTATTTTGATAAGATTCACAACCTTCAAAATTCATGTAGCTAAAACCAAAACACACCTTTTAAAGGGACACTGTTTATTGTGCACAATATACTGCAATCGTACATGTAATTAAAACAAACATCATGAAACAGCATAATTTACATATTTTATAAATAAAGAAAGAAAAAAAAACAAGAAACAGAAAAGAAGTGAGCAAAAGCAGACTATTCTAGCCAATGTCTCCTTAACTGGACATGAGGCCACAACTCAGAACCAATGAAAGGTGGGCCCCGAACACATCTAGCAAACATCTTTCACACCTTGGCACATAATGTCTCATCCCTGCTCAGTGCAATTCTCCAGAAGGGGATAAAAGCTCTAGTAGGCATCTTTACTGATGAAACAAAGCACTCTGTTCTCATGTAGCTAACAAACAGGAAATGTACAAAACAATAAAAGGAAAGAAAACTGTAAATTGTTAAAAAAAGAAGAAATCCCTCAAGGCCAGGCACCTGGAATGCCACACAAACTCCACTTTGTATGTGTGATGGCCATTAATTCTGTATCATCAAACATTTTGAATGTTCAACACACTGACTGACTCAGCTTGAAGCACTGCATTGGAACGTGGTGTGTGCTTTGTGTAGTTGTGATGCATCACATTTCAGGCACTGAAGGTGGAGCTGTGAATTTGAATCGTAAGACTTGAAATGCAGACTCAATCCACTTCTGTGAGGCCACATGGTCGCCTGAATTCCTGACCTCTCTCATGGATCCATTTATTTGACACTATCAGAACACAGAAACATGTGGATGTCAGAGAAGGAAGGGTGTGCACAAAAATATTGCAAATCTCACTCTTACTGACCCTCAAAATGAAAATTGATGTTTAAGCTTGGTTACTGGATACACAAATCTACTAGAACACAAAATTGTATTTTCCTGATTTCAAGACACAAAGATGTCCCATTTTTAACACCAAAGCTTTGTGGATGTACACTATTTATTGTACACAGTTTAATGGAAATAGGCACTGTTACCCATTTAATAAATAAATTCAAATGACAATTACTTTCATTATTTTATATTCATCGTTCATCTTTTTAAACTGCTTAAATCATCTAGGGCCGCAGTAGCAATAGGTAAGCAGAGAATCCCAGACAACCCTGTCCTCTGCAACTTCCTCCAATTCATTCTGGGGGATCCTGAGCTGCTCTCAGGCCAACTTGGAGATAATCCCTCCAGCGGGTCCTAAGACGACCTTGAGGTCTCGTCCCAGTCGGCCATGCCTGGTAAATCTCCAATGGGAGATGGCCAGGTGGCATCCTCATCAAATGCCCGAATGACCTCAACTGGGTCCTCTCAATGTTGAGTAGGGGCTATACTTTGAGCTCCTCTGGATGACCGAGCTACTCACCCTATCAAGTAGAGTGTAGCCTGCCAACAGACACTCATACACAGTACATACAGACTCAAACGCATACAGACTAATTTACAGCAATAACAGTAGTGATAATAGTAATAAATATAGCTGCAAGCGGCAATGAGTGGGTTCAAGCATGCAACAGCAGTATGGGCCCTTCTGCAGGTTTAGCCCATTAGGCCTAAAAAGGCCTCAAGCTTTTGGTTTAGCCCATTAGGCCTAAAAAGGCCTCAAGCTTCTTGTTTAGCCCATTAGGCCTAAAAAGGCCCCAAGCTGTCGGTCTTATTCATAGTTAGAGTGAACAGAACTGAAAGGAACTCAGTTCATCAAAAGGCCTTAAGTTGCCTTAAACAATGAGTAGAGGTCTTTGAACACGTTATAGGTTTACATTAATATGTACTGATCTACACTGGTTTGTAGAACATTCAAGAGGTTGTCAACATGTCAAAACTACATGACTAATGGCAGCATTTGTCACATAGTAGCACTTGCAAAGTGGATTGGTTCTATATTTAAGCCATTGATTTGATGTAGGCCATAATGAGGCCCAATGCACTCGTAAGGAGCCCTTTAGGTGTAGAGGAGCTCAGTGAAAGTGGGTTAGAATTTGTCAAAAGGCCTCAATATGGTATGACTATTGATCAGGGACCACATCCAAAGAAGTTTACAAAGTTTTGGTCAGATTGACCTTTTGACCTTTGCATAATGTAGTCTTTGAATGAATAAGCCAAAATAAAAGACAAGCAGTGCAATTTTTGACATAACATGTAATTCGAAAGTTGTTCATGTGAGTGAACTGAGTCTTACGGCACCAATTGTTTATCTGTAGACCTTGTAATAACATTGTAATTGCATTTTTATTGATTTTTCAGTGTTTCTGACTGCTAATGCGCCCCCTAAAGGCCAATCTGGACCAAAATTGGCCGACCCTATTAGGGTCTCAATTTGTGTAAGTTTGGAGATGATCTGACCAATGGTTGTTGAGTTATAGCAAATCAAGCTAGCAATACAATGGCCGCAGCAATTAATTGATTCATCCACACCCCAGTAAGTAAAAAGCTCAACATGTTTTTGATAATTATTTACCTAGATGCCACAGAATTTTTCTAGACCAGTTTCGAAAAGTTTGCTACAAAATCCAGAGACTAGTTCGATAAGTATGGTTTTCATACAGTTATTGATTACGAAAAAACTGTGCACTTTTGTAATAAACATGCATTTGCAAAATTGTTTGGCATAATGTGCTACAATTGAATCATATGGGATTTGCATCAAAACTGTAATAAAATAGTAATAACATGTAATAATAGGTTTATTTTTATGAGTAGCGCCCCCCAGTGGTCAAATCTTTTGAAACTTGGCTGGTTATTAGAAAGTGGCTACATATAGACCCCATTCAAGTTTCTACATAATAAGTTACATAATAAGTTTACTACATAAGATTCATACAAAGCTTGGGTCAAAAATAGTAATAATATGTTCATATCATGTAATAATATATGATTTTTTATGAATAGCGGCCCCCAGTGGCCAAATCTGTTGAAACTTCATTGGTTGTTAGAAAGGGGCTACATGTAGACACCACTCAAGTTTCTTCATGATTGGTCAATGTTAAGCCTGATAAAAGCCTGCTGAATGCTGATTGGCTGATGGCAGCCGTAAATTTCAATGAATCAAATTGTCCTTCAAGATTCACTTATAGTCTGTCAAGTAGATGCTACATGCCAAGTTTCAGCTCAATTGGATGCACGGATGCTGAGAAACAGTTAATTGGCAATTGCCCCGCCCCCTAATGACATATGCCCACCAAAATTGATATGCTGCCACAGAATCTGGTCATAAATGTGCATGTCAAGTTTCAATGTTTAAGGCAGAAGCATTCTCCACTTATAGAGTTTTAAATGAATTATGAGCTATTTCAGAAGGGTTCATTAGCATATGGCAGCCATATTGTTTATAAAAGTCAACATTTTTTTGATAATTATTGAGGTTCACACTCTTCTGAATTTTTTGATACCAGACACATGAGGATTGAGTGAAAAACCTAGAACTAGTTCGCAAAAGTAGGTTTTGCATATTATGCAAATTAGCAAAAACTCTAAGTGGGTGGAGCTAAATGGTCCAAATTGCAAAGTTGTTTGGCTTGACCCAAGGAATCAGGCAAAAAAAAGAATTTTGTCTCTACACATCATGGTGTAGAAGTTATGAAGCAAAACGTGTTTTGATGCTCTATAGCGCCCCCCTTTGGCCAATCGGGGTCATTTTTGTTGCTTGGCGAGATGCACACAAACTACATCTACCCACCAAGTTTGGTGTCTCTAGGCCTTACGGTCTGTTCTCCACAACACGTTTTTCAGGAGAAAAAGAAGAAGAAGAAGAAGAAGAAGAAGAAGAAGAGGAAAAATCCAAGAAAAACAATAGGGTCCTACGCACTGCGTGCTTAGACCCTAAAAATCCAAGCAAAAAACAATAGCCATAAATAGCTAAATATAGCCACAAGCGGCAATCTGTGGGGTCCAAGCACATGGAAGACCTCGAGGAGTAAAGTAGTGGCCCCTGGTCGTAGACTGCAGCAGATCTTCAGATTTTTAAGAAAGTTCTCCTTTTCCTATGATTAAGGCCACTAGTTGATACATCTGCTACAATCTACGCAACTCATTTTAACATCCATGACGGGGATTCAAACCCACGACCCTAGAGTTCAAAGGCAGAGGCTCTAATGCTGAGCCACAAGACGTCTGGGGCAAAACTGCAGTTTTTGAAACAATTTATTGAAAGGATGCAACAAGGAACCATGCACCATTTTAGGACAAAGTAGCAGCATAAACAAATTTCATGTCTCTGGACGTAGAAGGCAGCAAATCTTTGGATTTTTAAGAAAGACCCTTCATTAAGATAATTAAGCATGTGTTCACAACAACTGCTACAGCACCATCCAACACCAGTACAGGGAATCAAACCCTCAACCTTAACCTTCAAAGGCAGATGTTTTCATGGTGAGCTACAAGAGGCTCACGACAGACCTATTTTTTTTTAGAGAATTTATCGGTCTAGAGCAATAAGGAACCTAGCACCACCCCATTGGGAATTAGTTTCCACCTTGCAATTACTGTGACTATTGAGTAGTATAATTTCAAACAAAATCATAATACACTGTCAGTTTGTCATTTTGTATATTTGTATCAAATTTGGTTATATTCAGACAATTATTGGTGTATTTTTAGCCTTTTATGGCAGAATAAGCCAATTCACACCAAATTATTCAAATCTTCAGCCACACTGTGCTTAAGTCATGATATTTTCAATATGATGGTTTTAAGAAAAATTTAATTTGATTTAAACTCAAGAATTAGTAAGAAATGTCTATTCTCCATCTTTTTTCAACCGTGATATTACTGAAAGTTTTTTAAGACTTGTATTTGCACAACTGTTAGGCTTAGTGAAAAACATAACATTCAGAAATGCTCTTCGCTTAAAGACATACAGTAAAGCTTTCCATGTATATGTCAACAATGACGTGCAGTTACTGATTTGGCTCCCTCTGGTGGCCAGAGAAAAATCTGACCAAAATTTGCTGAAATCAAATTATAGGATTTCCTGTACAGTACAACCTACACATTATGCAAAGTGTTAATGTGTCATTAAGATGCATAATTTCAAACAATAATCATGTCTTTATTTTAATCTTAGACAGGAATAATTACATTTTAGATTTTTGGCAGTACATTGAGCATTGTAAGAGCCAACTTAAGCCAATTCAAACCAAATGTCATATGTTTCCTCAACTGATAATTTTCAATGTATCAATTTTAGTCACAATCAGAGCATAAGTGACAGATTTGTGGTCCCTTGTTTCTGAATAGGCTGGACCGCACTGATTGATCCATAACTTGCAATAACATTGTGCTTAAAAGCCAAGGTTTTTTAAATAATTATTGATCTTTAGACTCCGACAGTTGTTTTGAGACCAAGTTTGAGACGATGCAAAAACATTTCAGCAAGCAGTATGAAAACATCAGTTTTCAAACTCTGAGTTTTTTAAAAGACTTGTATAAGCAAAATTGCTTGGCTCAATGGAATACATAAAATTCAGAAAATTCCTTTGCCGCAAGATAGATGTTGCAAAGACTATGACCATAAGTATGTCTGAAGTCATAATTTGCATTTAATGCTGATGCTCCCTCTGCTGGGCAGAAAAGATATTACCCTTATTAATCATGTGGCCATCCTGGCTTTAACTCAAATTTCCACATTTCCTGTGCAATTTTGGAACAGACATATAATTGCAATGTTTTAGACATTAATAAGATGTGTAATTTAAAACCATTATCTTTTCTTTAATCATTCATAGAAGAATATAATGACA